AGTTAGCTGGAAAACATTCCAAGGAGCTCCTGAGAAAACCCAGAGCAGCTTATCCAAGAGGAAAACTCCAACTATCAGGTAACTTTGATGCTCTCGTATCGAAATTAATTACAATTGAAATTACAGTCCACTGATAACGCCATTTATGTACTTTCGCTATATCATTTGTATTTTTTAACGTACAGTATTGGTTTTTTTGGCCTTTGAGCTGCCGATAGCTTTAACTATGCACTATACCGGTTACTTCGACTATACTATAAATTTCAGGATACACTTAAACCGTACTCATGAGCTCCTAGAGGCTTTGTATTCTCTGTCGATGTTGAACTTGACTTTGTAACGCATCACCTTTTAGAAAGTTGGGAACTCACCTCATCGCCACATTACTACCATCAATGACTATCGGGCGTAACGATTGAGTTCCCTCGCCAGCCTCCATCTGGAAAGATACCATGTCCAGAGTACTTTCATTAGGACTGCTATCACAGGAACTGCCTTTCTGCGCTCCCAATTTGATGAGCTCCGCTAGGAGTTCGTTTTGTGTAGGAGATGAACCCAACTTTTGCAAAGCAGCCTGAACTAATTTCTCCGTGTAGCCCAGTTTCAAAGCAAACTCTACCCTGGAAAAAAATTGTATCGTTCCATTTTGAATTATGACAAAAATTGTATTAGAAAGTTATATCCAAATGAAACAATCGGAACAATCACAAAACGCAACAGATAATTCAGTGATACGAGGGTAGTTCCAGAAGTACCCGGCCTGACCTAGAGATGGCGGTAGTTGAAAAAATATCACTGTATTAGAAAGCACACAATATATAAAGCATATGTTTCAAGTTTGAAGACGCTGCGTTGGTTAGTATTTGTTTGGTTAGTTACAGTAGTATCTTGCCAGATCTTATATACTGTGTGACCAGCATTCACCCACGTTTCGTCCAGATAATAAATCTTTTTGTGAGCAGAATTCATTTCTCTAATAGACCGAAGATATCTCCGTCGCCATGAGACTATATCTTCTCTTTCTATTAAGACGTATTTACGGGAACACACTACGCCTATGCAGGTAAGGACGCTTGATAATGAAGAAACCGAATGACTAGTTATGGCATTTTAAGGACGCAAATGTAATAGACCTGCGAAGTGTTGATCAGTTTACCGATTTTTCAAAGTATTTAATGAACTGGTTCACCTATTCGCTCGTACATCCTATCGATATGCAGAAGCTATCTTGTTACGGGGGGCAAATTTTATGGAACCATCTTACTCTTCAATTATTTACAATGGCGATGCATAGGCAATAAAAATGGCCCCGGTAAAAACATTGTTGCCGTTAGACCAAATGAGGTGACGACTCCAGAAACGGTGAAGAAAATCCACAAAGCGGTACTTAATGATCGTCGACTAAAAGTGCGCGAGCTAGCAGACTTAATAAGCTCACATCAGCTCACAAATCGATTACCGCGATGACCAAACTTAACGAATAAAGTTTGAATTGCTACCTCATGTACACTATTCGCCAGATTTAGCCCCCATGGATTGATTTCTGTTTCCAAACCTGACAAAATGGCTCAGTGGTCACAGATTTTCCAAAGATGAAGAAGGAAGAAATCAAATGGTGAGAACAACAGGACTTTCAGAAAAAAAAAGGGGTAAATTTTGTGTGGTGTTCCACAAGTATCAGTTTTAGGACCCATCTTATTCTTATTATATGTCAATGACATTGCAAATTTGAGCATTTCTGGAAATTTCACTTTTTTCGCTGATGACACGACGCGACGATATTGTGAAACAACAAAAACTCTAATGATAATACAATGAAATATCTACTGATATGAAAAAAATCAAGGGGTGGTGTGATGCTAATTTGCTATCCTTCAATATCACTAAAATAAACATTTCATCATTCAGATGAGATATTATAGTTCAAAGTGGATTTATAAAAACGTATAAAACTTACAAAAAAATAGTGAATCATCTCAAAAAAAACACTGTGAACGAAGTAATTTAACTATTCATTCAGTAGACTATAAAGCTGAAAAAATCAAATATCAACGATCATGAATTAGCATTCAAAATTCAAAATATAATCCATTTTTCGAATATTCAAATCATCTCGAGCTATAAATAGCCTACGATAAATATCAAACACTAATAACCGTCATTTCAAATTCGTTGTGAAATGAATATTCATCGTATAATTGTGAATATTCACGGCAAATAAAAAATTAGCAACATAAATAGAAAGGTCAAAGAATCAAAGATATTCAACGATATTATATAAACGGATGTTATAAAATTGTGAAATAATTCTTCCAATCGTGCTAACTGCATACGATTTATTATGAGGGTCAAATGCTGAATTGGCAAATATATGCAATAACGTAAATTGTGTTCAATGTTACACAATACTGTTGGCTTGAATTTGCGCGAGAACACGAAAAAAAATGTATTCTATACACTGATATGATACATTTCTAAATTTTAACTATGATATAATGTCGTCATTATGATTTTCCCAATTGACCGTCATGACCATCATTATTCTTTGAAAAACTGCCATAATAAATGCAACGTTCACGAGATAATTGAACTATTTCACCGCCCCTAATTCCATTCAAATTTCAAGCGTTGAAGCGCACCCGCCGAGAGAGTAGAAGCGACAAGCGACAAACTTGAGCGGTTTTGATTTCTAAACGGCAAGGGTTCACGCCTTGTTTCGTTTTATCTGACCCATCCTGTATGAATCTTTCGTCATTTCATAAAACTATGTCGCTAATGGAATGTCCACTTCCTGTACACCAAACCCATTCATCATATAGGTGCGATAATTATCCCCGATAACGAAGACGAACTTGTGCAAACAGTCTGGATCCCCAAGACATATTTTCAATAACTCAAATGATTTTATAGTCTCTTCGCACCTTTGTTTGTTGAAGCAATTATCACATTATCATTCATTGTTTGTTATTACTTTTATTAATGACTATGTAGGTGCCAGCGTATCATTTTAATAATGCTGATGCATTACTTTTTATAAACAAGTTTAGATAAAGGAAATTTGTTTACTTCAAAATTCATTGTAAACGAAATATATTATCACTGAAATTGAATTACATTGTGAATATAACATCAACTTCTGACAGTACATTTGCTGCCTCATTCATTGAGTTTTGATACCCAAAAAACATATTACACTAGTCACTGTCCTTGCTCCTGTACAGTATATTTTATATGAAAAGCCAAGCTGTTGAAGACACTTCATTACGCAACAATAAAATTAAATGCATCTCTGGTTTAGTGGTCAAACATGAAACAAGATGGCTAAATTTTAATGAAATGAATGAAAAACACTTCTGTCTCTCTAATGCAGGATGCTACAGAACGATTTGAAGAAATAAGAAGAGAAACCTTGGAAGAGGATGATGGACCAATCCTTGCCAAGATTGAAAGCACGTGCTTGAAGATCCGCCAAGCCATGGAGAGTACCCACAACAGAAAGTGGGGAATATTGGTGAGGAAACAATGCCCAAATGCAGACCGAAAACAGGAAAACTGCGATACCGCAATCGCCATCAACCTGAGTTCCCGCCCGCTCACGAACATAGAGGAATCCTTGTTAAGGAAAAAAGATCTAAACTTCGCTATTGTGCCAACATCTATGCCCACTTAGTCTGGCGTGGAACTATATACCACCCAGTTGGTTGTCAGCAAGGGTGGTGGTATATATACTTAAAGTGGGCCAGAGAGACCCACACCCCAAGTCAGTACGACCAATCAGCTCTACATCCTTCCTGCTGAAAGGACTTGAGAGGATACTGGACGGAATTATCAGGAGGGTAGCATTACATATATGCATCCCCACTGAATAACCACCAGTATGCTTATCAAACCGGCAAACCGACAGATTCAGCATTAAACAACCTCGTTGAGAAAATCTCCCCTTGACAACAAGGAGATTGTGATTGCTGTATTTCTTGATATTGAAGAAGCATGTGACAATGCACTACCTAAATCTATAGAATTGTCTCTGGCTAGAAAGGGTATAGAATCGACCATAACTGGCTGGATCTATGCCGTGCTAGTAAACAGAACTGCAACTACGACTCTTCAAGGCGAGGCTATCAGGTCCAGGGTCGGCAGGGGCTGCCCTCAAGGCGGGGTACTATCTCCCCTTCTGTGGTCGCTCCTGGTGGATAGTCTGCTTGATACCCTCGACAGGAGAAAAGTTGATCTGTAAGCTTATGCAGATGACCTTGTCATCCTGGCAAGGTCCACGTCGGAAAGGGTAGCTTGTAATATCCTCCAAAGCGCGTTGGATGTTGTTCACAGTTGGTGCCTGAGGAAGCAGATGTCTGTCAACCCCAGCAAAACTGTGTTAATCCCCTTCACCAAGAGAAGGACATTGGACGATCTAACGCCACTTTCCCTTAATGGTGTGGTCATTCCATTTGGAACGTAGGTGAAATATTTTGGCATGGTCCTTGATAGAAGACTCACCTGGAACGCTCACTTGGAAAACGTTTTACACAATGCCAGACTGTCTCTATGGACATGTCGAAGGATTTGTGGTAAAACTTGGGGTTTAGGTCCCAAACAAATCCATTGGATTTATGTAATGATTGTTAGACCAATGATCACAGGTAAGTTAGACCTACCTACCTACCTGTGTCCACTTTCAAGATAATTACTGCAGTGGAATCCAGCAGTTCCCTTATTGATCAGACCGAGGCAGAAGAATTTAGGTGGAAGATCAGAAAACAGGTGGATCAAAAATCAGTTCCAACATTTAACAGCAGCGATGGAGAAGGAAGAGCTCTGAACGGCCTGCAGGTAGGAAACGCTATTGTTGTGATGGATACTGATCTCTACGAACAGAAGATCGAAGAGGTTCTGCAGAAGGGACGATACACAAAGATCGTACGGGACCCAACTGCGTCAATTGAAAGGAAGTTGTACCAGACTTTGAAAAAACACCAATTCTACTTTTCGGAAACGGAGAGATCATCGCTAACACCGCACCATAGTGAGCTATCTTACTTGTATGGACTTGCTGAAATCCACAAGAACGGTGTTCCGCTCAGACCGATCATTAGCTCTAGAGATTCAGCTACTCAAAACTTGTCCAGATTCTTACTTCCCATAATACAACCACTGCAAGGAAAAACTTCATATTTTGTGAAGAATTCAAGACATTTTGTAAGACGGGGACCTGGAAGATCGAAATTACTTATAGAAGTGGTCATAGAATTACTAGAATGCTGTGTAAGAAACTGCTATTTCCAATTAAAGGACGATTTCTTCACTTCTTTACGCAAGATGAGGTACAACCAATGTGATCGCCACTTTCACCAGTTTTAGCCAATATATATATGGGGTAGTTTGAAACTCTGGCCATTGAAGAAGTCCACAAGAAATCTAGAGTCTGGTTGAGATACGATGACGACACCTCCATAATATGGAACCATATTATTGCCATTCTTATCAATCTACCAAAAAAGGAACCATCAAGACTCTACCAGTCTGTGCTTTCGAGCTCTGTAGTACGAAGGAAGGTCTCGAGAAGGAACTAGGCATCATAAAAAAAATCTTCAACGGAATGGTTACTCCAAAGAGATGGTAGAACAAACTTTGGCTAAAAGCCAAGCTACCGTAGAGATACCCAATATATTGAAACTCACAATAAAGCGGAAAACGGTCAACTCCCGCTAAACCGGTGAAGCAGAGAGAGGGAAGAAGGGCCACCCAAAATTAATTGGTGAACTTTTTTGATGTATTCGTCGGTAACAGCGTCTTTGTGGCCTCCACTGCGTGCATCGTCCTCGTTGCTCATTTCACCTCGTGTAAACTTGGCAAACCACTTCTCAACGGTTGATTTTCTTGGTGCAAAGCCCGACATTTCTTTTTATCCATTTTCAACTAACAAAAATTGCGTTATATCCCACAAACTAATAATCCACCAGCTGTGAAATCTGTACACGTGTCTTTTGAAGGTTAGGGTAACCTAAAAATCGAACGGATTTAATACTATAGTAGCGCCATCTGTATGTTAGCCGTCGAACTTCACAGTCCATCTAATACATATGGTAGTTACCGCGAAAAGAACATTTCTCTCACCTGGCTGTATATCCGGAAGATATTTCTGGCGCCGACTGCACATATTCGGCGTACTCGGCCGCCAAGGTATCGCTGGTTGTTCGAGAGACATCCTGATGCCTGGTCGGTGGATCGTTTTCATAGTCAGAATCGTAACTTGAATCCTCTCCGGCCACTGCTCCTGCGCACCCCTCAACGCATATTTCGTCTACATATTTCTGAAAAAAAATAATCTATTTTCAATCGGTTAACCGTGATATATACTTTTCTGTTTGAAAAGTTGTAAATTAAACTTCAATAGCAGTAGGGGAGACCCATTGTAGATCTTCCCGAGGAGTTGTCCTCGTCCATCGTCCATCCTGTCCTTTATATCGGCAGGTGTAGGCCAACACACACTCTCTTATTGACGGTAACTCTGGACCCTCGCATAGGATTCTCCACTTAACCCTTAGGCTTAGTGATTTGGAGTAACCTCCACATCCTTACCTTTCTTGGTTTTTGAGTCGACAGTGAGTGTTCCTTACACCACGTTTTTATTAATTTGAGGCCATCCTGCGCTCTATCGCACAGAGTGTTCACAAATTTGCCGGTCTGCACGATAACTATGACATTTGCATTTCTGTAGCTTCTTATTCGGAACCATTAACTGGTTACACAGTAGGCTAAGTTCAAGGCTGTCACTCTAGCTAAGTGCAGCCCATGAAGGTCTACGTCTCTACCAAAAGTCAAATATCCGCTTCCAGAAATGACTCGAGATACACTACACTTATTATAAAGTCTATAAGTATAGTATCACTTTATTATCAGTGGTATCTCAATTTTGTTGTGAAATGCCTTATCATTTCTTCCTATAGTGATATAGGCCAACTAGCTGGCATCGTAGCGTTATAAATAGATTGTAAATCTTCTACAATTAATTTGAATCACAAATATTTAAATAAATTGTGATCACTTCAACCTCTACAAATACCACGCCAATGCGCGGATGGAGTACAATTCTTCAAGAGAAAAAGGTCGACTTAATTAAGACACGAATGAAACCTCCGCGTCTACAAAGCGATGATACCGTAATTACATACAGAATGGGATATCCCGGATATATGGTGTCACACTAAAAAAAAAGGCTGAATTAAAACCGATTTACCAATTAGGTTTAACATAACCTCGAGTTAAGAATACATTGTTTAACTGTGAATTTGACAACAATTAAGTACTCCACGTTATAAAAAAGTATATGGATTCAACACCAAATCATCTTCATTCGTTCAGCTCAATACATGAGTGGATAACAAATCCAAATCTGACATGAATATAGTATCTGAAAATTTATTAAAATGTTATTACAGTGGTCCAACTACACAATAACGTCACTGAGATGAAAATATCTATAAAGTCACGGACAATCCAGTTATTTGTTACAGCAAACCAATACATCGAACATAAATTGATATATTTTCTCTCTCTATCTCTCTTTTTTGATGGTCGTTAATGTTAGAAGCAAAAAGGTTGCAGTAATCATACCATGCATGAAGATGGTAATCTATCCGGAATCGAAACACTTCCTGACGAAATTCATGAGGGTCTTCCAAGAGACTCCCGAATTTTAACAATTAATTGATAACGACCTTTTTGTTGAAGCTATTTGTCATTCATTCAGTCCCTTTTGCCAAATCACCATGGACGGATATATCATTCAATAACACGTGCAAATGGGTTTTCTGTTCGGGCAACGTACCGCGCGCTTCCCCCATTTTACGGTCGCCATAACCGCCCTACCGGTAGGACTATCCACAATGTGGATCCACTGACTCAATGAACGATCGACCAACACCCATACGTCGACGAAACGTAAGATCTACCGAAAATATCGTTGCTGTCTGTGAGAGTGTGCAGAAGATTCAGAGACATTCAATTCAGCGTCGTTCACAAGAAGTCGGCCTTTCGAAGACAACAAAGGACGAATTTTGCGTTGTGACAAAATTCATCTGATCCAGGAACTGGAACGACGTGTGTTCGCTGAATGGGGCTCTGGAGCAGTTGGTAGCTGACCCTAATTTTCATCGAAAAATCATCTTCAGCGATGAGGCCCATCACTGGGTATGTGAGCAAACAAAATGGTCAAATTTGGGACAATGCCAATCCATATGAGATCCAAGAGCATCTAAGGCATCCCGAAAGAGTCACTGTGTAGATTTTGGACTGGCGGCATTATTCCATATTTTTTCGAGAACGACTTTGTTTTATTTGCTTATAAAGATTGCGATATCAATATCGCAAGCAATGCTTTGTAGATTATGTACTTGCCACGTTTCAAAATCATCTCTAGTTACTATGCGTTCAATTATCGATGAATTATCGGTTGTTAGTTCATCCACTTTCTCTCAATTCATTTATCTCCGATGAGACTGTACGTATCTATAATTTGCAATTATATATCACTCATTATTTTTCAATTATTTTCCACCTACACAAAAGGAAGAATTGGAGATCGCGTTCCCTACCGGAATATGTGTATTTTTTTTATATTGTCGTTTCAAATGAAAATTATTCTTACGCCTGATGCTTTGTTTCAATTTTCCCCAAATCAACTCGATGGGATTGAAAAACAAAAATAGGGGGGAAGTCTTAGTATAGGGTGTCCATACTTTTTAGCAATACTCTCAAGGGCATAAACTTTTTCAAATGTTTTTGTCTGTAAAACTTCAAGTAGTTGGTTTTTGGTATAGTTATCATCAAAATACAGATTGTTATCCATTAAAAAACTTTGTATTCCATCTTTCCTCGAATTTTTATGCCTTTGATGAGGTGTCCCGAATGATAGGAAGCGTTGTCAAGAACCACTTACACTATTCGCATCCAAATTTGGGACCAATATGTTTTCAAACCATTCCTCAAAAATATTAGCTTCCATGTTCTTATGATAGACACCATTGCAGCCCTCAAGTTTTTTTCCACATAATCGGAACGCATCCTTTACTTCCTAATGCACAATGATTAGTAGCGATCCTTTGTTTGCAGGCATGTTAGGCGTACACATTCTCGAACCATCAGTCCTCCCTTTCGTAACTGTGTCGTGAGTGTCATACCAAGAATCTGACACAATCAAAAATTTCATGGAGTTCTTCTCTATGTACTGGCGTAAAGTTCCTCAGTTAACACAGAGCTCTCCAGGGAGAGTTTGAATGATAAATTAGATTGAAGACTGATAAAAGCGGCTCCTACGCCGTCTTCGGATTTGGATGCGTCCGTGTAGATTGTGTCAAACTCCTTGTATTTCGTATGAATCATTTTATATAAATTACATTTGATGACTTCGTAGTTAATGTTTCTCTTTTTGAACTGTTAACACTTGCCGAATCAATTTAAGCCAAAATTTTTTCTCGATTGTACTTCCCGATAAAAGTTGGAAGTGGTCAGTTACCATCGTTCGCGTATATTAAAGGAACAGCTAGATTTGCCAAGCTGTACCACGTTTGAACAGTAGTAATCTATTATGCTTTTATCTGTTAAAAAAAATCTGTTGTTTTTCCGTTAACCAGCAGTCACCTTCCAACATGTGATTCGTAACACAAGATGGACGATAGAACGTGAAAATCCATCGTCCGGCCTTGCGGTTCGAACCACCGCTTCACACAGCGATAAACTGAGTGAGTGTACCTCCAACTCATTCTCTATGCAATTAATTCAATCAATTGTGGGATAAACACACTCATTTTCAGCACCCATTAGAAAGAAATAAAGTATAATCAATCTAATACTTTAATGTTCATCACTTCACTTATTCAACTATTAATCTGTTGTTATATTATCTTTTTTACATTAACGAAGGTTTTTGAGATATGAAATCATTCAATTTTATTTAATAATCCCTCTGTTGCTACTACGAAACTTACGATTACAAGTTTATTTGTTGATTTTAGGTTGTTCAATAACAAATTAGTATTGTTCATTGTTTGTTGAATTGTAAAATAAGTAGATGTTTGGACAATTGAAATCTGATCAACTAATTGAATAGGCATCCTAGGAATTCGTAAAAGAAGGAATGTATGATTTGATGAGTTCATCAAGAAATTATTGCATCATTATTCAAGATTTCAATGAAGGAAATAATTATACTAAAACCACGTAAATTTACCCAGCATAACGTGACCAACCGATCAAAATATTCCCTGAAACATAAATCATTGACAGCAGATCTAATGAGATTTCAGAATTCCATCAAAATTTCCCATGGTCACTGATCACAAGTTGTAGACATGAATCTACGTGTCTGTTTATATTATCGGAAATTCATTACAGTTAACTAATCATAAAACATTGTCATGACAAATGATTTACATGAATTTGGATTATAGTTGTGAAGTCCTGCGGTTTTGCATAATATATTATTTGCAAACCACATCAAAGGTGATTTTTTACACCGAACAGGGCTATCTACGGGTGAATTACCGTTGCATTCGATAAAGTTAATCATGATGTGATACTGGAAAAGGTACATAGAAATGGCGCTGATACCCAAGCACTCAAATTGCTGGCTTCGTATTTGAATAACCGACACTTCAGAGTCAAATATGAAGGTACAGGGAAATTTCGCGCAAACTCTGGAGTTCCTCAAGGATCAAACTTGGGTCCATTACTTTTTCTTGTTTTCATTAATGATCTAACTCAAAATATAAAACACTCTGAGTGTCCCTTATTCGCAGATGACCTTAAATTTTATAGACAGATCGAAAACTCACAAGATTGTGTCAAACTACAAGAGGACATCAATTGTGTTCATCGATGGAGCGTGAAAAATGATCTTCCGTTCAATATATCCAAATGTTCTGTCCTGTCTTGTACCCGAAAACTGAATAAAACACTATACAATTACTTAATGAATGGTATTGAATTATCCAGGGTAGAGACTGTCAAAGATTTAGGTATATACTATAACTCCACACTCTCGTTCAAACCTCATTTGGATTACATAGCATCTCAGGCTCTAAGAATTATGGGATTTGTAATGAGACAAAGTGCACATTTCAATGATATTAAAGTGATTACTACACTTTATAANGTTTTTTTTTTCATCTGGCGGCACTTTATTGTTGAAATCATAAAAAAAAATATTCTCATGGCTATATCTGTTGATATAGGGTGATATAAGATTATATAGGGTGTTTTTTGTGACTGTTAGCTGTGTGAGTTTTCGAATTTTTGAGTTGTCATAACTTAGTTAATAATAATTATTTTTTCATGAAATTTTGGTCACACCTGTTCAGAGGCACTCTGAATCCAGTGGCGTAGTGATTTTTTCAATAAAAAAATTCGCTAATAAAAAATCCCGATTTTCGACTAAGAAAAAATATCGTAGTTTGCCCTGAAACTTTAATAAACATTTCAAATTTTGTCCCAAGGTAGACCTTTTAGTACTTGACATTTCAAAAAAAAATTATTAAAATCGATTCACAACTTCAAATTTTAGGGGGGTGTTTCCATTAAAAATGGGTCACACTGTATCTCCACTGCACTCTTTGTATGAAATTGCATACAAATAGACCAAGTTTTGGAACTAGTTAAATCATCTTCAGATGGCTCCATGTTTGGCCAAACGCGAGTCAAGAATATATTTCAACTCCTGTAGATCTGAAGTGTTTTTGTTAGTAGTTTCGGTTCAGGAGTATAGAAAGTAATGTTTCGTCGAATTAATCAATCTTCGAACATAATAAATCTACAGGAAAGTGCGTGAAGGACCTTTCCCCAACAATTTTCGCTCCAGCGACCACGGCAAAACAAAATACCCACCTCTCCGATTACTGTCATATCTAGATAGAACCAACTCTCCGTGACATACCGCCACAAGCATATCCTCTCAACAATATATTTTCATCTGTCACAGCCAACCGCAACTGCTCCACACGATAAACAAAAGCACACCGCACACAAGATCACCGAAAACGAAGAATGCAATTCTCGCCCGACGCGACGATATCAACAACTCGACGTGCTAGATTGAAATTTCGAACCGGATGTTTGTTAATGTATAGGTCGACCGGAGAGGTCCGACAAGGAACTATCGTTCTCCACGAAATTCGGCCAAACAAACTCGATTCGAATCTCATCGACATGAATGAGATATTCAGCTGTTTTCGAACCGGACTTAGCTGCTGCACACGATAGCCGCCGGTGAAAAGAGGGGCGACCGAAAGAAAGTAGGAGAAAGAGCAGGTTGATCCAAGGAAAATACAAGGTGTACGAGTTCGAAGTGTGCGTTGATCGACTAGAAGATGCTGCCCACACGAATTTACAAGAGCACGGCCCCCAGTTATGCGGTTACGTTAGGGTTTTGTTAATTATATATATTTGGATGTGCCAATGTGGTCCTTCGAACCGGATTTAACAACAAGGTTACGTTTTTCAACGTAACAACACGAGAGATAGTCCTTTCCCTGGACGACCTACAATGCAAGACAAATGCTCAAATAAAAGGCAGTCAGAATCATTAGAGTTGTTGCAGTTACTTTACAGATCTTTGATATTACGGCGTACGCTTCAGAATAAACAAATAGCGAAAGTACCTAATCTTGACTAGGCACGATAATCTCTACTTACAGTCTTATGTACTTT